GAGGTCGAGTGTTTTTGATCTGAACCCTTAAAACCTCCAGCAGGCTACGCTGCACTTTTGACGTGTTAGCATGCGGCGCTAACAACTTAGCGACGTGACATGTCTTACACAAAGCGTAAAAACATGTTGGACACTTCTGAAGCGGAAAAATAAAACTTATTCTTAAGCAGAGCATAACTTCGCCTCGTTCACCGTCTGCCGAGCCGGTGTCGGTACAAGATCTGCTCGGGTGCAAGATCGGCTCGGAGTCCTTCGACTGCCGATGACGTCAAAGTACGGCAAACCCACTCGGACAAAATACACTACACATCTATACTGTTGGAAAGAATTTAGCAGTTTCGTTATTAAAATAATGTTTCTTAAGACGTAAGTTTGTGTTTATAATGGTATTTGTAAAATAAAACACTATTTTACTCATAATGTTGAACTCCTCTTTGAGCACATCCCTTGAAGGATCATAGGTATTAGCAACACCTGTGAAATTGTATTTGCAGGAAAGAAGTGTGTCCCGTTTATTGAAGTATTTTGTGTTTAGTTTTTGACGTCTTGTCCATGCGTAGTTCAGTTATGCTCATAGCTGCTTGCCAAAACTCTGGAGTTAAAAGTTTTCTGGCAAATACCTGTCTGTATTTATTTGATTGATGGTAGTTTTACTTTCTATTAGACTCCAAATGTAATCATTTGGCATGTTTCTAATTCATAATTTGTAAGAATGTAATCGGTGATATTAGCATTAGCATTCCTATGGGTTTTTCCATGTATATTAGCATTGCGCTAACCACTCGCTGCCAAATTGCAGCCTTTGCGATTAGAAAATCTCCTTTTGTCACATCGCAATTTAATTGCACATGCAGTTATCGTTCAGCCCTAATATACATGCAACTCTATGCTAAAAGTGTATTTTCAAAGAGGTAATGATGGATTTCTTTGTAAAAGTTGTCCCTTTCCAACAGAAAGATTTGCCTGGACCAACGTAACGTGATTACGTAATTCAGGTTCATGTTCAGCCAATCAACTACTTTGACGTCATCGGCAGTCGACGGACCCTGAGCCGATCTTGCATCCAAGCAGATCTTGTACCGACACTGGACTGAGCTAGATAACATTGACCCATTGCTAGTTTGCATAGCCACTGGGCTGCCCCGTGACTGCCTGATGGAAAATCAGCGGGTTTCATCAGACTCGTAAAGTTCCTTGTTTTTGTCGGGGACCCCCTGTATTTTACCGCTCCCTCCTGCAGTCTTCCCCTATTAAAATTTAAAATGATTCTGTAAATTTGTGTATCAATTGAAAAAATATCTGCCTCTGCCACCTGCAGTAAATGTAGGAAAGACCGTCTTGTCTTCCAATTTCCAAATAATACGAGGTGCATTCATCTGTGTATCTCCTTTGATCTGCTTTAGTGATGTTTTCAGCACCAGAATAATGAAGCAAAGAAACAGATTCCCGAGTTTATGTTAGTAATTGAATTTATTAGGTGCATCTGACCTGTTCTACTTTTCTCTGAAATGAGATCAAATCAGTGCTTCTATGGGTTGTCTCCTCTCTGCCCTAGAAAATGTTATTTTACTATAATGTTCACTGTAATCCATCCTGATGTTCTAAACAAATAAATTAAATCAAAGATATTGGTCAATAATGCCAAATATGTAAATTTGTGTTTGTCATTTTAATACTGGCTTAAAAATACTTCATTAAGTCTACTAAGCTGGGGTGTAAAACGTTTTTAATAGGGTCAGCCCAGTAATGACCTGGGACCAAAATAAAGGGGGCAGAAAGTAAAATAAAGGGGGGCAGAAGAGATGTTTTTCCAGACGCCAAGAAAAATTTGCTGCTGGCTTATGATCCGCCATTCTTTTGAAAATACTGTATATTCTGGGAAATGTTTGACCAAGGCTAGGCTACAATACACCTCCTGTGTAACCTTGCTCAGCTGGCTAAACGGCTAACAAACGGAGAGCACATGCCTCGGTAGAAGATGAACATTGGAACACGCCTTGGCGGCTCCTGATGACGTATCTCCTAGGCAACCGAGGCGGGGCCAAGACATCAAGGCAAGGTTCCTTGGCATTGAGAAACACTCTATATATGCACACTGATGTAGCGACATAAATGGCCTCATTTGTGACCCAAAGGTCATACTTCCTCGGCTGGGTCAAGCTGTCCTGGCTGTACTTCTATCTACAGGAGACGCAAAGTCTGCTGTAAACCATCTTTAATCTGACTGCCTTTATCTGACTGTTGTTCCATCTGCAAGACAAAGGACACCATGATTTAAAAGAATTATTTTTAATAAACTCTTTTCACTGTCTATTACATTGTTCATAAATAATCATCAAGGTTCATTATAAATGTATTTAATTACTGAAATGAATAATTATTCTTTGGTTAATAATAATAATTATTTATGATAATCAGTAATGTTTAACAGTGACAAGAAGATTACTGTACGTATACACACCAAGCAGGACACAGTAAATCAGGTTAAGGTTAACTGCACTCACATGTCTTTGTTCCATAACACCAGAACTTTCTAACTTGGGAGGGCGTGTTCTGAGGTATGTTAAAACCTAAATTCCTCAGTTCAAGTTCAGTTCTTGAGCTCACCAAAATTCTCCCCGTGGCACGAGTCCAGAGGATCGAGTCGGCCGTTCAAAACCTCTACTAAAGCTTTTCTGTCAAGCCGATAGAATTGTTTCCAACAGAAACGCCATCTGCAACAAGCTGACGCAAAACTCCTTCAGAGTTAATCTTAAGACACAAACCATCCACCTGTGTACCTGCGGCAACTCTAGGACCAGAGAGTCTGTACCACTGGTCTACCCTACCGGACCGAGTACCCAGAGGCTGATCAACATCCTCTCTTGACCTCCAAATCCAAATAGAGGGTTGTCTGAACGGTGAGGTAGAACACAAGATGGATGCCTGTTTTATTAAGAAATAATTTAGCTTAGCTGCAAAACAAATTCTTTCACCCAGAACGGGTTTTTCTCTCTCTAAGATGAAAACCTTCTGAGACCTACATTCACACATTCAAACACACACACTTCATTTTTAGTTTTCATCAAGACAGACTGCTTTAATACCAAAGCTTTTATAAACTGTCATTAATGAATTGTCTTTTAAATTGTCATCTTTAAATTGTTAGTAATAAATTCTTAACTTTTTAAACCTGACTCTTCTTTGAAATAAAACAAAGAGTGGTGTATATTTGGTCACTGAACAGGCAAAGATCTCTTTAGATCTTCTGAATTAACAAATAAATTTTTGCTATTAAATTAAATCTCTTAAATTAAATATTAATCTTTTGATGAAATATAGACCAAGTCAGTTGGTGTATGAACTTCTATTGATTATATAAATATCCGTGATATAAGTTTCATTGCCAGTTCGTTTGATCTTTCTCAGAATTTAACAAAGCTGAATAGCAACAGCGTTAAATGCTAGTTATGTAGATTAACAATGCTACACTGGCAGCCTAAGCCACACCCATCTACTTCCTGTCCATGGGTCGCCTGCTGCCATTTAAATGAGCGGGAACCTATGAGAGGATAGAAGTTACGGTCTGATCCCTCACATGTGATGCCGTGTAGGCACTGATGTTTGACGGGCGGCTAAAGTTCTTTTAGGTTGTGTGAAAACATGTAGACACGTAGTCTCACCAGACACGGAGAAGGAGAGAAGAATGGTTTAGCGAGCTTCGCCTACTTGTTCCAGGACGACAGACCGAGCATTAAAGGTGGAGAAAACCACCTTAAATCTGGTCATGTGATCAGAAGCAGCTACACTGGGGGAGGAGAGGTCTGCTGTGATGTCATACATGACACGTCTGACCTGTGCTTGTTTTATTACCAGGTTTTACAAGACAGTCAAAATCAGAATCATTTATCTTTTAAAAAGAAGTACAACACAGATGTAATACTTTACAGTAAGTATACAAACAACTGTACAAAACTACAGCCTAGAGGCTCTTTTATGCAATGTCAGGAATGCAGAACTGTCAAGTACACAGGTGGCAGAAAAAATACTCTAATACTTTCAATTGAACTTTGTTTTTCACCTTGTTAGATCACTTAAAGGAAGTACTTTACTGGTGTGACCATATATGTACCTTGCTCTCACGAGTCAAACTGACTAAAATGACATACGTGATGCTGTTCCTCGGTGAGTAATGTGAGAGCTAAAAGGGTTACAGCGGTAACTTTAGGGTCATGAGACCACGAACGTATGTTCTTACAACTCACAGCTGCTCAACAGAAACAAAGTCCTCCAGATTCTGAAGCAGAACATGAAAACAACATGAATGATGAAAACTTTAATAAAATTTGTGGAGAAACAGCTGAAGAGGGCGTCCGGCGTTGCCATGGAAACATGTAAACTATGAGCACTCTAGCTAAACAGCTCCAGCTACAGCTTTATTCAAACAGCTCGTGGTCTCTGTTGTGGTATCTCTGTAGTCCTCAGAGGCATGGATGAATAATTATCGCTCCGTCTGGATGAAGAACAAGGCTCTGTTTTTTCCTTCCATCGTTTATTTGGCATTGATTAACAGGGTCTGCCTGTGGATGCACGTGAGTCTTGATTGCCGATAGGGGATTGAATCGTAGGTGGAGCCGGCAAAACCAGGAGGGGAGGGGGGTGCTAGGTCAAGCAGAGATGTATCAGGAGAACCCAGATGTTCTAAAGTGGCTTCCTGTAATACCCCCTGGCACCTGGCAAACTAGAAAAAGGTGAGCACGCCCTGTTTAGAACGTGAAATGGCAGCAGGAACGGCCAATCACATGTTAGCAAGTATCTGCACAGCCAATAGATGAGCTTATGGAGGGTTCTACTGAGAAACAGCTGTTATTTCTGCCTGGTCCTGATTCTCCATAAGTGTCTACTTAAGACAGTGTAAGATCTGTCCCCCAAAAACTATGTCCATGGTGGCACCAATAAGTAATCCACATCAACAGTGTATGAAAACTGTGCGTGTGTGTGTGTGTGTGTGTGTTCAGTACCAGACTCCTATCTTCTGGCCCATCACTGGCTCCATGTAGAAGTTGTGTGTGTGGTTCAGTCCCTGATCGAGCGGCCGCTTCAGGTCGATGAAGTAAGGCCTCCTCACTAGAGCCAACAGCACAGGTGGGTCACATGATCGCTCACGTGTAAAGACCGCCATAACGCTCCCATCTGAGTGGGACCAGGCTAAACCCTGAGAGGATCCCAGATCAGTCTACTCACCAAAGTTAAGGAAGACCAGCTTAGCCTGGATGGAGGGGAAGAGTTTAATTATGAAAGGGATGGAGATGTAGACGAGCAGCAGGACCATCATTATCCTCTTCATCCTCCCCATCACACCTAACCTGAGGACAGACACACACAGCCTTCACCTCCTGTCTCACTCCACCTGCCACGGCTTCAACCAATCACATCTCAGCTTCCTTTACCCCTTTGATGCATAATGGTCACCACAGTGGACACTAGGGCTGAACGATCTATCGTTTTTTTGACCGAAATTGCGATTTCAAACATAATGATCACATGACCGTCAAAGCTGCAATTTTAGCGGTTTTGACTGATCCAGGATCAGTTGTGCAACTTTTTTTTTTCTGATGGCACACGTTAATTCAAACAAGCTAACGTGTCAGAATGAGTGCGTCTCTCACGGAGCTGACGTTTTAGTGAGGAAAAACTCAGACGGCTTCGGAAAACGTGCAGCCAGCCTGCCGCGGCAATGCAGGGAAAACTGTGCATTTTTAATTTAATACATTTAAAAGCTGTTTCTACCTGCAGATTTCCTCCACGCATTTTTGGAGTAGAACATGTTTTATAAAGCTCTCTCGATAAAAATCACAAGCACAAGTTGCTTCACAAACACATTAAAAATAAAAAAGGTAACAATGGGAGAAAATATAAATTCCTTTAACTGTTTTTATTTTATGATTAAACAGTAAATATTAATGTGAATGATTTGTTGTACTAGATTAGAATCTAGACCATCTTTTCACTTAATCTACAGGATGGCTTGGCAGGCTAGTGTTGGACCTTTGTTTGCAGAAAATTGTTAAATGAACCGAAATCCCAATTTCTGCTACAAAATTGCAATTCAATCTTTTCCTAAAATCGCTCAGCCCCAGTGGACAGGTACTCAAAATTGTTATTTATTTTTATTTTTTGCTATTACGCACAGCTGTTGAAGACTTTATTGCATTAGAGCCTTCCATTTGGACTTCAGTAACTCAAGCCAACATGTTTCATGTTCAGAATGCACGCGGTCTGCTGTGGTGGACATGTAATAAATTATTTGTAAACTACCGTAAATCCTCTAATACAGGCCGGTATTCAATTATTCAATTAAAGGCCGGGTCTCCAATTTTGGCCGGTGTCGGAGTCAGCGGAGGTAAATAATGGCCGGTCTCTTATTGTGGCCGGATGGAATGTGGTAACAAGCAAGTACGAGAGTCCCAGCGGCAGGGTTATAGTCCCCAAATCAACCAGCAGGAGGCAGTAGGGGTTCGCGCAGACCTTCATTAGGCTTTTTCTTCAGGCTTTGTAACGCTTCAGACACGATCCTCTATCACGCTCCTACCACACAGAGTCACGGTGTCAGTTAACCATGCTAATTCAACCCGCTCCACAGAACACACATCACCTTCCCTGTGGCTTACATAACACTCACACAACACGCAAATCAGCACATAGGAACTAGCAGAACGATAGGAAACACATATAACACAATACCCAGAATGCACCTGGCTTACAACCCCAGCCAGGTCATTACACTATCAAGTTCAAAGAGAACGTGCTGATTATGCTGCAGAACACTCTGGAGAGCAGCAGTAGGGGGTGTATGAACTACAGTAATCCCTCGTTTATCGCGGTAGATGCGTTCCAGACCTGGCCGCGATAGGTGAAAATCCGCGAAGTAGGGACTCCCAGCATGCCCCTCGCGGGGATTCCCTTCACGTCGCACCTACATCACAAACCGCGGCTATAAACGGAAGTCGCCTTTACAGCTCAGTCATCGTTTCTTCAGATTCATGATCAGAGTTTCCAACCTACCGATCAATCCAACGAACTATCAGCTCATAGTAAGTTATCTTACTTACTTCTGGAAAGCCCGGCATTTCCGTGTCACTTCGTTGACGCTCGAACGCTCGGGGGTTTCCTAGAGCAGCCGGCGTTTCACCGACGCTATCACTTCCGCGTCTGTGAAACCACGCTCCCGTAGGTACTGACACGCGATCGTTCATGTCAGTTCATTTCCTTTAATGTTTTCTGTCTTTTATTTGCGCCTGATGCGTTTCGCTGCATGCTGTGGAGCGGGGCGCTGCGGGCATCACCTTGTTCTCCGACGCACAGATCACTGATACGGCCGCCAAACAGCAAGCACTCCGCTGTTTTTGCGGTCGGTAGATCTTTTAGAACTGCAGTTCAAAGGTAACTCATAAGGTGAATATATATGAACCCAGGCAGCAGCTTTTCTTTAGGATTGAGAGGAGATGCAGGAAGATAATAAACAGACAGGACAGAAAAATAGTCAAATAAAAACAAGTTCGTTTTTGTACCTGGTGGTTGCAACAAACAGACACCATTGAAGGTAATCAGAAGTGAGGAACAGAAAATGAAATAATTATTTTAATGTTTAGAGCAGCAGGAACTCCGAGAGGCTGCAGGCGCATCAGTGAGTTTGCGGCTGCTGCGCAGGGGGAGGGGGGAGAGGGCTGAAGCAGAAACTACCGTTGTTAAAAGAAATGTGTTTAACTTTGAAAATGTGGGCGCAATTTTAATTGTCAAAAACTCCAGCAAACCATTAGTTCATTTTGCTCAAATAGAAATAGAGGCCTGCCTCTAATACTGGCCCTCCTTCCAATAAAGGCCTGGAGCTTGATGGGCTTGAGTCAAATACAGGCCCGGGCCTGTATTAGAGGATTTACGGTATTAAATGTTATAAAAATATTTGTTGAAATTTATTTCATTCACACATAAAGATGAATGAAAAAATTGTTAAAAAAATCATGATTTCATAATTAATGCATCAAAGGGTTAAAACCCGTTTCAGAGTGAAGCCACGGCAGTTAGACGAGCAGAGCCCTGAAACCCGAGCCCACAGAGTTCTGACCCAGATACCTTTGGGTCTAAGGGTTCTGCTGATATCTGAGCTCACCAGGAAGCTGAATAATTGATGCAGAGAGTGAGAGTCACCTGTTCTTAGATCAGTTACTGAAGAGTCAAACAGCCTGGTTCTAGCTGGGGGTTCTGATTCTGGATCTGCTCAGGAAAAACAGATCTAGAACCAATCAGAATTTGATGCAGACAAATGGACCTTCACCAGAAAAGGATCTGTCCAAATAAAAGGTGTTTACCACAACAACCCACGACAGAGTGCAGAACCCAGGTCATCTTGGTCTGAGGATTAATCACCGTGAGGGACGGTTGGAAGTCCCATCAGGAAACTGTCCAGTCCACAAAGACGGACTATTACTCCAACCTTGTGTCTGCGAACGCCAATGATCCACGAGTTCTGTGTGCTGCTGGTACCTCTGCTGAATGTGGATGATTACTCTCCTGCACAGGCATCAACTTATCCAATCATTCATTCGTTAAGTAGCGAGGAGCCCCCCCGCCTACAGCTAACATGCAAAGCTCCTATCCATCAGCTGGTTTCTCTAGCAGACTGAACCAGGTTAGTGGAGGAGAAAAAGCCAGGTGGATTAGCGGAGGACATGCTCCCCCCGTGTCTACTTCAGGAAGTCTTTATCTATTGCATCACTAATCCTGCACATAACCAACAGCAGTATGGCTTTTGGAAGCGTGCCAACAGTTTTAAAAAGCAGCTATACGTTTCATCTCCACAAACAATACAAGCATGGAGGAGTTATGCTGTGTGGTGGAGTTGCTAATGCTAACAGTTAGCTTTTACTAGCTGAGACGTTCTCTGCTGTTACCTGGACGCTAAACCAACAACAGCCTTCCCCGTCGTGAGTCCAGATGGTGAGTACATGAATGTTAGTGACAGTGACGTAGATCTGTCAGGATTTTCTAATCCTAGAGTTTCACTGTCTGTTTTCTATCAGCAGCTAATACAGGAGATATGTGTAGGAGACTATTATCTATCAGAAGCTACTGCAGGAGATATGTGTAGAAGACTATTATCTATCAGAATCTACTGCAGGAGATAGGTGTAGGAGACTATTATCTATCAGAAGCTACTGCAGTAGACAGGTGTAGGAGACTATTATCTATCAGAAGCTACTGCAGGAGACAGGTGTAGGAGACTATTATCTATCAGAAGCTACAGCAGGAGATAGGTGTAGGAGACTATTATCTATCAGAAGCTACAGCAGGAGATAGGTGTAGGAGACTATTTTCATGTTCAGCCTGCATGAGACACTCAGAGACTGATTATCAGAAATAATAATTAAAATAGTTTCTCAGTGAACCACACCTTTAATAATGTTTACCTAACAGCCTGTTTAGAGTTTGTGTAAAAAGACAAAAAGTTTAAACTGTTGACAGCTGGCCAGGGTTAGCGCTGAAGGATGGAGACACCTTCATGAGTTAAGAAGCTAAAGTTCAGAGATCGGGGCCACAAAGAGGCAGCCTCTTGAGGACCACTGGTTTAGATGTTCTTAGTTTCATGACCATGGTGTTTTTCTGAACCCACTTGATTGTGAGCCTGCTACCTGCTAGCATTAGCTAATCTGCCTGTAGCTGCACCTTTGATGACCTTTATGTCTTTGCAGGATTCCCCCCCTCACCACCTACACCAGCTCACAGTGCGTCAGTAAAAAGCATCTTCCTCACACAATAACAAGCAGCGTACCTTTGTTGGTTCTGGGGAAAGTCACATGGAAAGAAGTCGCAGGAGTGCTACGTGCAAAGATGTATCACACAGAGACACATGTGCAGCCCTGGCTTTAGGGTTGGGGTGGGTTACATGAACACTTTTTCACGATTTCCCCGGACCCCGAGCTCTCCTTCCTCAAAGATGTCTCCGACATGCTTGTGTTTAGATGCTGCACCATCACCGCGGTGCTCCCGTGCTGTCTGCTCCATGTGTGCTTTAACATTAAGCTCTCTCAAACTTTTCACGGTTGTATTTTCTTAGCCCTTCCTGCTTCTGCCATGTTCTAAGTGTGTCGCTCCTCATCCAAACACCGGCTTTCTCTCCCCGATGCTGCCTGCAGATGAGCATTGTTACATGACGAAATGTGTTGCCAAGGCATCTCAGTTTTATCACTTGGTTGTTGCAGCCCTACTGCTGACTCCTGGTTCTTCTGGCCCATCTCTTTCTGTTTAGTGCAGCACTGGTTTGTGCTGATGAGGCAACATTAACAGAACCATGTGACCCAAAGCGGTT